AGAGACAGATCCTGAGTTACCTAGCTAATCCTGTATTTTGTTCAGTTTCCTTTAAAGTCTTCACATACATTGGTCCACTCTGACCATAGTCACTACCATTCTATACTTACTCTTAGTTATCCCTGCTGTTATGGTCTCCTCCCTTGGGTACCAAAGGCCCTGTATGTACTCAGGATCTGAAATGTGTATTTGGAATATCAGTTTTACCTTAGGAAAAGAAACTGTCTTTTAAATGCTCCTTGTATTTCATTAGTATCTTCAATAATCCATATACATGTATGTGTTTGGGTGTGCATGAATTATATGAAGTAAATATACTCAAACCTTGATTCTAATCTTATTTTCCAAATATGCTCCCATCTTATAGATAAGAGTACTTGGTGAAACAGTATCTCCAACAGCCACAGTCCTAAAGGAAGCCATTTAAAAAGTCAAAGAAAAGGAGCCTTTTCCTAGAAATATCACCATAATATGAAGTGTAAATAGGAGACTTTATCTCAAATTTGTGCAAATTGCAAATGTGAATCTCAGTGTTGTGAGGTAGTTAACAGAGCATAAACTTCTATGTACTGAGAAAATGGGGCACTCCAACTAAATCAGAGAGGAGAAAATCATGTAGAAGTTTTCCAAAGCACGTTGCTGCAGTTTCCGGCTGTTTTCTCTATAGACGACAGAATATCTAACAGATTGTAGACTGCCACTGCAGGCTTAAAAATTACAATAGTCTACACACTTGCTTATCTATGAAATTGGGGAAAAGCAGTAGGCTGTCTATCCATGGATGGGAGATGTTTCTTCTATTTAGAAAGATTGAAATTGAGATAAACACTAAAAGTAAAACACCATTCTTAATTACCAGCAAGAGTTTAAATAAGTAAACACTGTCAGAGTTAGTGCTTTGGTAATGAAGTGATTGTGTTGTTTGAATACTTAAATACGGATTTTTTTTTCTTTCTTCCTTCAGTCTTTAGGGGATTTTCCTAATGACTACAGCATTACTTGCCTTTCAAGTTATCTTTGTATTATCTGTTCGGAAAATCTTGAATGATAACATAAGAAAAGTCTTACAATGTTACATTTTAAATCATAAACTTTATTATTTTGAAATTATTTATTTAAATTTTGCCTCTAAAATAATAATTTCAACTATAGTCTCAATCTTTTTGCAGGTATTCTTATGCAATTATTAAAATTTCTCAATGAGTTACCACATGCCTGTACTTTAAATGAACTATTGAACTGAGACTATTGAGGAAGTAAAAAATTAAAAAGAAAAGAAATGGTCAGTGTCAGCGTCATGTTCTCACTTGTTCACAGATGTTTGTCTCTTGTTTGCAGTTAGTAAGACAATGAGCTGACAGTGGTGAATAAAACAGAACCAGGACTTCTTAGAGTCATTGCTTAATGTAGGAGAGGCACAAAGAAACAAATATTTACAAAACGTTGCTGTGTCACCATAAGAAACAAAGACAAGTCACTAGAACTCGTTGCTAGGTTTCTTTAGCAGCTAATAGTAGTAGCCTTTCCCCCTGAGTCCAGGACTTATCTATTTTCAGATTCTTGGGTATTTTAGCAATACCATGTGGGTTCAACCTCATGGAATGGATCTTAAATACAATCACAAAGAGGTTGGTTGATTCATCTCATAACATTTGTGCCACTATTGCAGCAGTATTTCTTGTACGCAAGTCTATTCTGTAGATTTACTCAGAAGTAAGTGTGAGAAGCTGGGTATAGAGGCGTACGTATCCATCCCCAGCACTCAGAGGCAGAGGCAGGCAGACCTATGAGTTTGAGACCACCCTCGTCTACATAGTAAGATTCAGGTCAGCCAAAGCTATATATATACAGACCCTGTCTCAAAAAGGAAAAAAAAAAGAGAGAGAGAGACTTAGAATAGGATGATACTGGGATAGAAAAAGTGTTGGGTGAATTTTGGGAAAGGTTAACATGATGAAAAAGGAGATAAAGAGTGAACATTGTAAGGCTCAATTTAAGAAGCAAGGGCTATATAATGCAGAGATCATGATCAGGTTATAATTTTGTATTTAAGTGCAAGGGGAATGCCTGGAAATTTTTAAATGGAAAGTCATATGATCATATTTGAGTCTGTCAAATATTTCCTTGAGCTACTTACTATATGGGGTATAGTTTGGAAGAAGGCAAGTCAGGGAAAAAATGGATAGAATATTAGAAACCTATACCAAATGGCCATAAGTGGCAGTGTACTGGGCCACTGTGGTAAACTTAGAAAAGACTAGGCACATTTAAGATTTGTACTAGTTGCAGTATTCATAGGCCATTATAATGGGCTATATTTAAGAGCACTGGTGCATATTGGTAAGACATGTTTAGATAGCCTCTATGTAAAATCATTTCAAAGGGACCTACTCTACCAGAGAGCTTTGTGAAATGGTTGCATTTGGACAGGTCAAAAGAAAATGGCCCACAAAAAAGGAAGGAAGGAAGGAAGGAAGGACGGAAGGAAGGAAGGAAGGAAGGAAGGATGAGACATCCCCAAATCCACAGCAGAGGTAGAGAAAAGGAGATTGTATCTTTTAGTAATTAATCAATCAACAAATGAAGGTTGAGAACTATGGTAGTTTCCTGGTTAAGTTGTGTGTTAAGATCACTGCACACAAGACCATTGGACATGAGGTAGTAATGTTCAGCAGTACTTCCTGAGTGTGCCATGATACAAGAAAAATTTTAAATGTGCCCCACATATGAATTAATGATATCTCAACACTTTGAGATATGTAACCTTCTGTGCAAAAGGCTAGAAAACGGGTCTAGGGATTACATGTAGTTAGTTTTTCTCCCAAATGTAAGATAGTAAATGTGTGTGAAATGCCCCCATCACTGTACCCAACTGCAAAGAAAAGGTGAAATACTAATAACTAAAGCTAGCAAATAAACAAAGTCTGCATACACCATGGTAGTCAAACATTCTTCAAGAATTCGAAGGAAGGAAATGTCCTTTATATGTTAAATCATCTTTTTGTTAGACATACAGTTTCCTGGAATCCCAAGAGTCCTTAGCAGGCATTGAAAAACACCACCTTGACTTTTTGATCAACATCATTGCTTGTGAATCTCTGGGTGTTGTAATACAACCTGACTGTTGTGGATTGCTTCTCCACAAAGTGCTCCAAGATGTTCTTAACATGTAATGGTTCCTTTTGATGGCAATCCATCTTTTTGTCTGACCTAAGTTTCACCTTGTTCTTCAACCATTTGAGACTGATACTTTAGCGCCCTTTTCTAACAAAATTACATATTGGTACACAATTCTTCATAGAAAAAAAAATGACTCAATGTGAATTATTTAAAACTTCGGAGGGAAGCAAGGGGATATTTTATTCTATTTTAGTGAAGTCCTCAAGTATATGATGATGATTGCATAGGTATTGAAATGTCTGCAGAGGTTGAAGATAAAAGAAAACTTGTCAATCCTTCCCAGTCATTCTTCAGTCTGCCTCTTGTGTGCTCCTTGCCCCATCTCGTTTCTCTCAATAGCACTGGGTAGCTCTCAGTTCAAGCACCCTTACTAGAGAGAACTGATAGGAGTTTTGAATAGTGAATAAAGTTCCTGAAAGCAAGTGAACTTAGGGATATAATGAGCCCCTCACTGAGAGTTGGTAATGCCTGGCAGCCAGCTTTCTTGTGTACTGATGTTACATTGTGTCCCTCCCCTTTTTTATATTCTCTGGGTCGAGAAACAAAGCTGACCATATTCTCTTTGCCTTCTGTGTCCATTTGTAGCATACTTCTGCAAGGCAGTCTACTTGACAACCTGATACTATGATTCTCTGTGTGAAATTACTCTTTGGTGTGAAGAAAACCATGACTAATTCAAAGGAAGATTATTTCAGTGGAATCCTTAAAAGTTGCGAAGCAATTGAAAAATACAAACAGAAAGCAAAACAAATCATTGAGGAAAAATATCTGTCCATATTAAAACCGTGGGTGTTCTTCTAAAAGACTGATTTCACACCTCGTGTCTGGGGAAACCATCTCTATAGCAAGAGTAATAGATGAGGATTCATGGGCCACCTGAAACTGAGAACAATTACAGTGATTCTGAGTTTGTCCAGATCTTCTCCAAAATAAGCTAGCATTCACTGGGATTTGGCAGGATCTGGACAGGACCAAAAGATAAGGAACACCTTGACCCATCAGGAGTCACTTCCTCAGTATACATTGTGCATATGTAGTTTGGAAGGTATCAAAGGTATGAAAGTTTAATTTAAAAGTCTTATAAATTCCCAGATTGTCTCTTTGAATACCTTCTGCTTGAATGATGATTTCTACTTTAAAAAAGAAAAGCTCTATAAAACCTTTCTACAGTTTGCAATCAAGTCTGTGTGTGTCTACTGAGATTCAGTAGTGTTACTGCCATTCATGCTGAGGCCCCAGTAGAAATGTAGCAACCTTGGTAGGAAGCACAGCAGACACAACAATATCCTTTGAGCAGGCCAGTTAAACCTGGAAGGTCTGTCACTCTTTGTGTCCAATGGAATGGACTGAATATTGTTTATAGAAGGTGTTTGTCATTAATTTTTTTTGAAATTATGGTCAATGGAATGAACAGGTGGCCAAGAATGTGTTAAGTGGAGTGCAGTGTTTTGTCCAACCTACGACCTCTCAGTTACCAACACAATAAAAAGGTTGGCCAATGGCTATCCAACTTCAAGAATTCTGATGGTCTTAATAGATATCATTTTAATTCCACCAAACAGTAACTAATGATGGATTTAAATGTGTGTATTTATAGTACATTTTAAAACACTAAAACAAAACTATAATCAAGACAAATCTTCAGAGCCAGGCATGGCAGTACATGCCTGTAATCCTAGCACTTGGAAGTCTGAGGCAAGAGGATCACTGTGAATTCACAGTAAGTTTGGAGTTAAACTATGTAGTGAGACTCAAGAGAGGAGGAGGAACAAAGGACAAACCTTCTTCCCATATTCTAATGAGAGTTTGCTTGGTTTTAGGAGCATGGCATTCCTACCGACATGGGCTACGCAGTGTCCCCTCACCACTCGGGCGTCTACCCTGTACATGTACAGCTTTATGAGGCCTGGAAGAAGGTTTGGAATATTAAAATCACCAGCACTGAAGAATATCCTCATCTGAAACCAGCTAGGTATCGGAGAGGCTTCATCCACAAAAACATCATGGTGAGCTTCTGGCATGGGTAGGGTTTGGCTGGTTCTTCTGGATGACAGCACACACGCACAGACAGAGAAAAAGGAGAGCCAAGTGTTAAGAGTGTGACTCAAGAGAGGGTGTGCTATGTGAAGAGTGTTGTTATACCTAAGGAAGGCGTTCTAATGATAGCCACGTCTTCCTGTTCAATAGAACTCGAAAAAATAAAATAAAAAGCTTCTTTTCCTGTCACTCCTGCTGGCAAGCAATCACTGGTGTAAAAATACTAAGAAAACATTACATCAAAGTTAGAAATAATTTTAGACTACCATTTCTTACAACAGTCATGTGGCAGCTCTCTGTAGTCACCATCCTGCCCTTTTATAAACTGGTCAAGTTTCGCCTCTTTACCAGGTCAGGTCCCCCAAAACACTACAGTGAGTGCAGCAAGAGGCCACGTGTGAGGTCATGACTTGTCTCCAGGTGCCAGAGAACAAATGGAAGGTGACATGAGTTAAGTCACTATTCCAGAGTGTCTCCATCTTGTTGTGTTTTCTGCACTATTAAAAAACCATCATTGGTATCAGAATATGTGGCTCCCTAAGACAGCATGAGCCCTCTCACAGTCACTGAACACTATTTTTTCCCAAGTCAGACAACCTAAAGAAAGTATTAGTGAAGGTAGGAATGGTCTCTGATTGAGACCCACACACTGTGAAGAAACAGTCAGGAAGCTGATGCGCCCCAGAGCGCTGGGTCAAAAGGATGTGCGTGAACAGATATCTACCCCCTAGAGCAGGTGCAGCTGACTTCCTTTCACACAGTTTTCTAATGTCTACAAAAGTCAAGTGGATGATGGCATTTAACTTGGGTCAACCCCCATCTCAGTGTGTCCCTCAACAAGAAAAATGCTGTAAATGCTAGATGAGGGTATCATGGCCACATTCTTCTCCCAGCTTTCCCTTCCCTGATGTTCAAAGTAAATTTATCATGCCTCATTCAGCCAGCTTTCTGATGAGAGAGTTCTAAAAGCCTGTCCATGGTCATAATTTAAAAAGCATTTGGTGCTCTTTTGCCATTGTGATATGGTAGGCAGCCCTATAGTGGTGAACTTCGGTCTCTGGAGACATATTCAGCATGGTTCTGTCCTGTTCTGCCCAAAGGACTTCATTTCCCATACCTCCTAAACTGTATTTTGCCTGTGTTGCAAATGCATGACTATTGCAGGTAACCAAAGCTCAGGTGGATTTCCTGCTTTGACACAACTGTCCCTGTCGTTCTGTTTTTGTGTGAATTTGATTCGTGGGCTCCTGCATGAGAACTTCCAGATGAAAAATGTTCATCAGGCTGTAGGTTATGCAGGAAGAGAGATAGGATATCACCAGAAGTCATCCAGATAGACTCACAAGATGAGCTGCAGAGCTGGATGCCCTCCTGAAAGAGATGAGAAGGAAAGAGCTAGGGACTGAGCATGAACCCTAAATCATGTACCAGACCCGTATCTTCTAACTGAAATGAAATCATCCACGAATTAAAATCAAAAGACGTAAAGGTATTTTTCCTTACAAGGCATCATTGATCCTGCTGTCACTAGTTCAGTTATATAATTCAAAATTCCTGCTAGGACTTCCAAGCTTTCTCTGGGTTCCCACAATAATCGCTTTAGAGTATCTTTTCATTTGCTGTGTGGCAGCCACTCTCTTAATTCACTGCTTGGTTTTCATGTTGACTGTGGTACAAGCTCCCACTTGGTCAGTTTTCACCTTCTGCCCATCCTTCAATGAGGGCTAGCCAGTAGGCAGTGATGGCCCTTGACTCCTCCCGACCTTTCTAACCTTGCGAGTCTCTGCTGTTCCCACGCTCTTTAATGCATCTTTTACAGACAGGAGATGCTCAGCACCACACCTGCATTTCTGTCTTCCCCTGCCCAGCAGGGAACACTCTGCTCAGTGTGAATGACTACCCCATCTAACTTTCATTTTAACTTGGTTACATAACTCTGAAGTGCCGTGGTTCTCAAAAAGACGTACAGTTTTCTTACTCTCCTCTGAATTCATGTGTTCCCTGAGGACACAAAGTCTATTTATTGGAAACTTTTTATCCTCGCACATAAGGAATGAATAGAAAACTATGTTCTGAACTCTGAACCCAGTTGTTAAATGAGACTGTCTGAAGAGACCCAGAGGCTTCTGAACAACAAGATTCACACTCCATCTACATACTGTGTGTAACGGGTACCCAGGGGTAGGGGCTCTCACCAGTCTAACTATAACACATACACACACACACACACCCACCCCCACACACACACACACACACACACACACACACACACAATGGCCTTCACTGGCCACTTCACTGTTAGCAGAGTTGCCTGTATGAAGTCTTTCTAGGCATTATATTGGTGTGCCTTGAGATGTATTGACTGAGGTTTCACCATTTCCCAAGAACAGTCAGCAACTACAAAGATTACAGTTTCCAAGTTTGAATTTCACAGTGTTACACTACCCACCCTTCTCTGAAGGAAAGTTCTTATTAAAATACCTTAAGTTTCTCATTCCTTCTGTATTATAAGAGTTGTTTCAGGAAATGTGTTCATCACTCTACAGCTGCATTTAGAATCAAGACAATGGAAGAGGACCCTGGTCCGGCTCCTGCTTGAAAGTTTGAATTTCACAGTGTTACACTACCCACCCTTCTCTGAAGGAAAGTCCTTATTAAAATACCTTAAGAAAGTTTCTCATTCTTTCTGTAGTATAAGAGTTGTTTCAGGAAATGTGTTCATCACTCTACAGCTGCATTTCGAATCAAGACAATGGAAGAGGACCCTGGTCCGGCTCCTGCTTGGGTGCCTAGCCTCCCATAGTGGCCCACCAAGGCCCTAAGATTCATAGAGTAAAGGCCTCCCTTTGACTCCTTTCAAACTCGCGTAATTTAGGAAAAAGACAGCATTCAAGTTTCTTCACAGTTGTCTCCACTTAGCCAAACAACCTGGGCAAGCTAGCTTCCTGGACAGCCCTGCATGTATGCTGTGATTTTCTATGCAAGACAAACAAAATAAATCCTAAAAGTGCTTTATTTGAAATCATACCCTTTTAAAATGTAGCAGGAGCCTGACATTTAACTACATGCAGTCATTTTCTGTTTACCCTGATATATTGTTAGTAATATTTTTATTAATTTTCCAAGAATTCCATAAATTTATTTTGACCATATACCTGGTAAATTTTATGTCCTCTTGACATAGAACACACACACACATACACACACACTTCTGTTTTACATGAACCAGCATAGAATTTAGAACAACTATTTGCCATTCTTGAGTAAAGATTGTAAATAGCTTTAATTTAATGAAATTACATGTCCAGTTATTGATAGTAAACATATCTGATAAAGTTGAAATTTTTTGGTTGTGGTGCATAGCATTATAACAGTTTATGCTGCTTTCAGGCATTAACAACCCTGAGCTAATAAGCCTTGGATTTAAACTGAAATACTTTAACCAATCTAAGGTAAAGTATCTTTTCACTGTATATGTTTTATCAAAATAAGTGAGATGTATAGAGTCTTGATTGACTCAGAAATACCCAGTGCATTAATTGAGCTTAGAGTTATATTTCCTGTGAATACTTCTAAGGACTAGAGTAAATTCTCACACAGTGCTGTTCAGACCACTGGAAAAGAAGTTGCAAATACATAGAAAGCTGAAAACGTGGACGTCTTGAACAGGTGATTTTTACAAAGCAGTCATTGAGCTAAAGTGTTTTGAGATAAAGCGATAAGATGACAATTTGTTTCCTTAAAGCAGTGAGCAGAATGGCTGAATACATTGTGCTGAAGAAGTCTTGACTTGCTAAATATACATTTTGATTTTCTGTGTCTTCAAGTATGGCAAGCACAGGACACTGTGAGTCTCATTATGTGACTTAGCTGAAAACAGCAAATCTTGCACAACTTCTTTTATAATTGTGCTTTCATGTAATCAGGAAATCTGGACTTAGGCCCGGAAAAGACCTCATCACAAATGTGGACATTAGAAGCAAAGAATGAAAACACCTTTTGATAAGTGACAGTTTGTCATCTTGTTTGTGACACTTTCTAAAGCTAACAACTAAACAGATGCACTCTTACTTTGGGGTCTGGCAGCCTTCACCCTTGGACTTTGGGGCCCCTTGCTGCAGTATTTTCCCACCAGAGCAGAAACTGATTTGTTTTCAAATGTGTATTCTATCTAAAATGCCACTTCCTAAGAAGTACCACGTGAATAGCTGACTTCATTTCCAAATGTGTAGCAAAGGGACTTATTCACACTTTACCAATGAGGGTCATACACAATTGGAGTACTTTAAAGTCTTACTTAAAATTTTATTTCTTAAGATTTATAAAAAAGATTTATTTCTAAGACACATTAGACTCCATAATAAAAGCACTGACTCTGAGACTTAAAATAGAAAAATGGCTAAAATAATTCCAAGTCTATTTTCAGTTTTAATGACTTCTTTAACTTCCCTTGCTGCCCCTTCTTCTTCATGCAATCTTTTCATTCCCCACAGTGGAGGGTTCTTCCAGGTCCTAGATAGAGTTCAATATGTACCACCTTTATTTATATCCTCTTCCATGAAGAAAAACAAGTTAAGACTTGGTAGAGGTAACTAGAGCTTTCTCCTGACATGGCCATCTTTCCTTCAGGTTCTTCCAAGACAAACCTGTGGGCTCTTCACTCACACAATTTTCTACAAGGAATATCCAGGAGGCCCCAAGGAACTGGACAAGAGTATTCATGGAGGGGAGCTCTTTTTCACTGTTGTTCTCAACCCAGTAAGTACTTGGAGTCATTCTTCAAACAAATGATGTTTAAAATGACAAGCTGCATAAAAATTACCTTGAGGAGGAAATAGGGAACTGGGTAGTTATGAATCAAATAGCATGAAGCTTGCTGCTATGGAAAATGAAACCATCTCCTCTCCTCCTTCTTTCCCTCATCTTCCCTCTTTCTCCTTTCCCCCTCCCACCTCTGCCTCTCTGTCCTCTGGCCCATCCTTCTCTCGCTATACTCTCTTCCTCTTTGTTTCTTCCCTTTTCTCTCTTTCCCATCCTCCTCACTGTCCCATCCCTCATCTCATCTCATCTCTCCTCCCTGAGACAAGAAAGCACAGATTTTGTAAGTACAAAGACAGGAGTTGGGTAACCAACTGTCACTCTTGTTTTCCATCCATACTCAGCTCTGCCCTGCTGGGTCACAGAGCATCTCTGGGGAATGGTGAGCTGCTCTTTCTCCTTCATATCTTTATGCTAGTGTATCAGCAATGCAGTGAGCCACTGGTGAATTCATTTTCCCGGAGCTGAGTGTCATAAAATCATGGGGTGAAAGAAAAACTATTAAAGTGAGCTGCAGAAAGGAAAGGCTGTTAGTGATTTTCTTCCATGAAAGAGAACAGAAAAAAATAGAGATAAATTTATTTTCAAATATATGGATTTACCCATGGCTTTAACAATATTCAAGATGAAAAATGCAATTATCTCCAAATACAAATTTTTTCTTATCAGGAGAAAAGTTGGGTAAGATAGAAATAAACAGCAAAATTTAAAAGAGTCTCAGCTTGACCTTACTTTTAACAGGATCTATAAATAAAACTGCAAGTATTTTTCATCATCTACTCTATTCAACAGCAGATCTATATTTTAACAGCTAGAAAATGAGATAGATGAAAAGGTAACTCAGTCTTTGGTAACATCTGCATGAGTTCACACCTCAGGACACTTTGTAACTTTCAGCCTTTAGGAAGGTCATCAAATTTCTGAGCCCTCCCCAAACAGATATTTCTGATTTACAACTCCACAAATTACCCCCTTATTTTAAATTACCTGTATTTTGAATTACACTGTATGGATTTCTTCCTTTTTTTCTCAATTTAACCAGTATTGTACAGGGAAAGGGAAGTTGGCCAGTGTGTGATTGTGAACAGATTTTATAATGACCTGTGAAATTCTAACAACTTCACCAATGGATTTCAGACCCTTGAATCTGCATTTTACAAGATTCTGATTGAGTGATGCAATGGGAACCAGTCTGCGTGACTATCTAGCCATTGGTGATTTGGTATTTGAAATTCTCCTGGTATTATTATCTCTGAACTTTGTGAACCAAATAATCTCCACTCAGCACAGAAGAAATTTAAAAATCAGTCACCCATTTATAGTGAACTTAATTTTTTGCCTATTATCTGATAAGTAGGACAGGAGTATAAGCAAAAATTTTAATCCAAAAAATTATAACAACAAAGGATATGCTGATCTTGGTGCCAATTTATGCTGACATACAAATTTTTCTTTCTAGATTGGAAAACTTTCTGAAGATAATTATTGTCAGTAAACAAAAATTGGTTCAAATTAACTAGGAGCTTGTGACATGTACCCTGAGACAGACAGTGATCTGACTGGAGATGATTAATCTGGTACACAAGGTCCAGTAGAGGGTAGGGATTCTTTTAACCTGGAGGAGACAGTCACTTTTGAAGTTGACATTTAGACTCTGGCCATAAGGATGTGTGCTGTCATTAGTGATGTCTGCCTAGAATACCAAAGTCAGAAATGGGGAGTGCTTCCCAGGAATATACATCCTGAAATCAAATGGTAAAAGAAAGTTATGTTCATGCTTCAAAACCTCCAGCTTCAGTGACACATGTATGAAGTTAGCAGGTGACATGTTTTATTAGGTCAGAATGGAAATGAAAAACTCCTTATCAGATCATAGTATGTGTTAGCTATAAGAAAGATGGAAATTTTAATTATACTGGATTTGAGAGATGGCCGCTGGATGATCACATAATAATATAGTCTTAATTAAAGGTGATAGTTTCTGAAAATACTAAGTGCCATCATTTCCAAGGAAAATGTACATGATCTGAAAATACTAAGTGATGCTGTTTCCTAGAAAAATGCATTAAATCACAGTTGATGAAAGGGGGAAATACAGTCAGGGCTGTGGTTAAAGACCTTTTAAAATATTAATCATTGCATCAACACTTGAAGGTGTTACAACACCAGTGTTGAGTAAGAGGTGGCTACAATTAAGTGCATTTTAGAGTTAAACTTGAAAAGAAAACAGCAAGGATAAAAACTACTTAAATTGAATAACCTGTTACACTGCTACCAAAGTATTTTTCTCGTGACTAAAAAGAAGCGTCAATCAAATGAATATAACACAATTAGAAAAGAAAAATGATGACTAGCACAACAGAGGAGAGGAAACCTTGGCTGTCTTTCAGTGATTTCCAGTGTCACGGGCCAGGAAGGACACTTCTGACATGAGATGAATGCAGATGTTTTGATGACTTGTGTTTAAATCCACTTTCTGTAAAGATTCTATTATGGAAATAATATGTTGATCGTAAGAACATATTGTCACTGGGGTAGCAAGATGCAAAATAGTTTTATGAACATCGTCTTGTGTTGGTGGTGAATACTACCCAAGCAGGCTGAATCCCAAGAAGGGACCGTCTATGTCTATGTTTCTTTACACAGCTCCTCCATGAAGGCATCTTCAAATTGCATGCTGCTTTACTCATTTCCCTTATAGAGGGACTCTCTAGCTGAGATTTTGTTAAATTAATTTCTTTTGTTTTATGTGCATGGATGTTTTACCTACATATATGTTTGTGGACCATATACATACCTAGTACATGTGGAAACCCTAAGAGAGCATTAGATACCCTGGAATTGGAGTCATGGAGAATTATAAGCAACCATGTGGGTGCTGGGAATCATACCTGGCCTTCTGAAAGAGCAACAAGTACTCTGAATTGCTAAGTCATCTACACACACACACACACACACACACACAGAGAGAGAGAGAGAGAGAGAGAGAGACAGAGAGAGAGAGAGAGAGAGTCCTACACCTTTGTGTCCTAGCTTGCTTTCTGTTGCTTGATAAAACATTGGCCACACAAATAAATGACTATCAAACCACCACCATTTCTCTCTTGTTTTTCCCTGAGATCTTATGATAATATTACTATCTCAACATAAAACACAGCTCAATTTTTTAATTTCTCACAGTTTTTAAATTTTTTAACACTCTAAAAGTTCAATGTCTCTTTAAAATATCTTACTTCTCCCTCTAATGTGGAGGTGAACCAGGTTTTAGAGTTCACAGGCTAAAGAGCAGACACTGAAGTATTTGTGTTTGTTCCAGGTCGACGGTAAAGGAAATTAGGTTACATTATGTTGCACCATTGGAGACAGTTGCAAAAATGCCTCAGAATCTGAGATGACTCAGCTAAACAAAAAAACTTCTCATGAAAGCATGAAGACCTGAGTTCCACTCCCAGCACCCACATAAAAAGCCAGGTGCACAGGCATGCACCTGGAATTCTGGCACTGGGGAGGTAGAGACAGAAAGAGCTCTGTCCAGCCAGTTTAGCCAAATTGGTGAGCTCCAGATTAATAAGGGACCCTATCTCAAAAATAATGTGCCAATCAACTGAGGAAAACATCCAATATCAACCTATGGCCACACATATGTGTCAGCATGTGTGTGTGTGTGTGTGTGTGTGTGTGTGTGTGTGTGTGTATACCCCAGAGTCATTGTTTACTACATACCCACAAGCACAGTTTTAGGTGCTCTCAGATACAAATATTCCTGATCAAGTCACAATTCAACAAATCTGCCATATGCTATATATAATTATTGATAGATAAAAAGAAAGATAGATGATAGATAGATAATAGATATTTTAAATATTTTTAAATAATGAGAAAATTCCTAGTTACTTTAAGATACCTATGTGAATTGCATATAGATAGGTTATGAAAATTAAAATATATAGGATCTAGAGAGATGGCACAGTGGTTAAGAGCACTGGCTCCTCTTCCAGAGAACCTACATTTGATTCCCAACACCTGCCTGGTGGTTCACAACTGGTTGTGACTTCAGCTCCAAGGGATCTCATGCCCTCTTTTGGCCTCCACAAGCACCAGGCATGCACGTATGATACACAGAAGGACATGTAGGAAAAACACTCATGCATATTAAAAAATTAAAATTTGTAGAAATGACAAAAAACATTGAGTTATAATGATTACATTTGTCCTCAATCAAGAAATCCCTATATAATGTATGGCATATATGTTTATACAAAATGAGCTAGTAAGGGAAACCATACATTTTAAGTTTCCAGTTCATCTGTCCTAACCCACATCCCTAGGCATGAGAAATGGAGTTGCTTTATCTGGGCAGAACTGTGTCTCCGTGTTACTAGGAAAGCTCAGTGAGCAATGTCACCTTCCTAGGCAGAACACATCTGCATGTTACTAGGGCAGATCATTGAGCAAGAATATCACCTTCCTACTTCACTGTTTTTATTTGAAGTCACCAGATCAGATATTCTAGTCTCTGTATGTTTAGCAAATACACAGCAGTATTGGGTCATTAATATTTCTCCAACTGAGAATAAAGTCAGTGTTTGCTTTGTTTATTCATCCAAAAGACTGTGTGGCCTGCTAGAGGACTCATACTTGCACCACTCTTGCTTGGCATCTGGGGATAGTTCCACACTCATAATGTACACGTGGCAATAGTCCACGTGAAGAGAAATTAAGTCACATTAAATCTTGAAAACTATATTTTGCATGTCAATGTGTAAAATTCAACTGAAAAGGAAACTGCTTTGTTTTTCCTGATGAGAAGTGTTACTCTTTCCCTTGTCATCTAGTCCTACAGAACACTCTATTATAGAAAAGGTGACAAATGAACCATCACTGCTGCCTTAGACAGTGAGAAGTGACTGCCTAACTGTCCAGTGGGGAGCACTGCCCAAGAGCCCTGGATAAAAGGTTCAGACAATGCACTA